TCTAAAAGAGCACCAGTCAGTTGAAGTTGACAAAGCTTTCATAAAAGTTAGTTTGAAAGCTATCATAAAACTTTGTTAGTGCAACTTTAATTACGCGCTCTAACATTTAGCTTTCATAAAGCTTTGGAAAAAGCTCCAGTCTGTTGAAATTTGCAAAGCTCTCACAAAATTTGTATAAAAGTTTTTTTGAAACCTACCATAAAACTTTTTTAATATAACTTTAATTACGCGCTCTAACATTTAGTTTTCATAAAGCTTTCGAAAAAGCTCCAATTGTTTGAAGTTGTCAAAGTTTTCGCAAAAAGCTGTAATAAAAGTTATCATAAAGCCATACTGTTAGTTCTAACATTTAGTTCCATAAAGCTTTTGGGCGAAAAAGTTAGACTCATTTGAGTTCACAAAGTTTTCATTAAAAATGCAATACAAAAAAAACAATCTCAAAGAGTGAGTGCTTTCATAAATCTTTTAACAGAATAGTCTCTGCTTTTTTTTAAATCAGTAAAGCTTTAACTAAATTTGCATTGAAAAGTATCATAAATCATTATTGTTATCTCTAACATTTAGCACTCATAAAGCTTTCAACAAAAAGGCTCCAGCCATTTGAATTCGGCAAAATTTTGATTAAAGGTAAAATTATCTTAAAGATAAAGCGCTTTCATATGGAGCTTTCGACGGTATGGGCTTTCGAATTACTTCAAATTAGTAAAGATTTCGCTAAAATTGCATTGAAAGCTATTATAACCTTAATTACGCCCGCCAACATTTGGCATTCATAAAGCATTCAGCTATTTGAATTCGACACTATTTTGTTTACTTGTTGATCTTCCTTAACGCTTTCGACAGTAAGAATTCATCCGTTTGAAATCAGCCTTACGAAAGTAGGATTAAAAACTTTGAACATTTTTTTCTTTAATTAATGTTTAGTGAAATAATTTAATTAATTCAACTCTTCACTGTCAAGGGCTCCTCACTTGCCATTCTTACTTTATATTATACCTTCACTGCCTTTTCTTAATTTTGAACCGATTTTAGAGGAAAGTTCCTTCAGTAAGTCATGCCTTACTATATCATCCAGTCTTATATTCTATTTTAGAACCCGATCTTAATCTTAATCTAAAAAAATCTAATATTATTACTATAAATTTTAATTTTTTTTTTTTAATAATTTGTTAATTTTTTTCTATACAATAATTCCAATTATTCACACATTCGCATGACTTACTATATATATATATGAAAAAATATATTTTAAGTAATAGTTGCTTGTAAATATTGCAGTTAAACTCAAAAAAGTAATTTTTAATGTATGTTAATTTTTTAGTCACGAATTAATTGCATAAAAAGACAGAAATATTACGATTATTCGGTATGAGTTGAAAATATAGTTTATTCATATCTTGAATAACACAAATAAATAAATAAACATTTTTA